AAATACCGAGATAGATCCTGCCTTCCTCTTTCACTGTCCTACAATCGAGTGCGGAGAGGCGATAGGCATTGAAGGATCGATTCAAAAACAGAGCATATACTTTACGCGAAGATTCGGACAATCAATCGAAACAAGGTATGAAATTCTGCTCAGCCAGCGTGATATCAGGATGAGCTTCGGTCTTGCAAAGGACAGTAGGTGGCAGGCTACGAAGATTATTAATTAATATTTGTGGGTACTTTTGAAAGATAATATTCACAATGTAAACGTTTTAAGGAGCAGTGATGTGCTGCTGCTGCTGCTGATGATAATTATGAATGAGAACATTTTCCCTAGTTTAGTTCTGTAGATCTCTTGCAATAAAAATTGTTTTAACGCACAGAGCATTTAATGCATTTTTTCTTGTCTTTGTTCTCCGTTTCCCTACATGTTACTTTCTTGCATTACCATATATTTCTCTTTTAATATGCTCTATATCTCTATGTAGGGTTGAAGAAAGAGAAACACTAACAATATGTACTTTTCATTATTCAATTTGCTGATCAGTTCGGCATTGTGTATTTGCATATTAGAATTCTTTCTGACTATTACATAACGTTAAATAAGAAATGTTACTCAATTTTGGTAGTATCCACATAGCTTTCAAGAGAATCAAAATGAGGTCGATGAATTATTAATTCAAATGGATTCGTATATTACTTAAATTAAATAAAATTCAATAGACAATTCTCGACTAACTTTTAACCATATTAAATAATTAGGAATGATTTTGGCAGCACATATATGTGCTTTGCCTCGATTGGGAATCGGGAATGTATTTTTGCTACCACCTGGAATCGATCCGGTGATCGCACCACGAAAAGCTAGCACGAAGTAATAAGCCACCCGAGTTTTTTTTTTTGTTCTAAATATAATTCACGATTAATTTACTGGACTGAATAGCTAGCGGTATTTTTAAAGCAAAATCATTGCTTGAATACCAATTTTAATTTATTATATAATTCTTCAACATTCTGCTTACCTGAATAGCTGCGACGTTCATGACCGACATTTTCCTTAAATAGCGGGGGATGTTTTTGTCCATTTACCGGTGATATTGAACAACCAGTGCGTCTGCTAGTTGTTAATTTAAGTGGTATCTCGTGCTTAACTGTGATTTAATATTGCCAACTCTTGTGGAACCAAAGTTTCGGTATCATTTCGTTTTACATTTACATTAAACTTAATACAAAGCATGCATACAACAAATATTGCACTTTGAATTGAACGGGCTTTAATTAACACTGGACATTTTAACACAAATAACATTTTGTTTTCGGTCATTTGTAAAGGTTGGACCTATTTGAAAGGACAATGTGTGCTTGGATATTTTGAAATACTTGTTTTTTCGTAATTGGGCTTTTTCCACAGGTCCAAATGTCTGGTAAGCGTTTTGCTATTTTAGGTTCGGGAATGGAAAATGAAAATCTAAAGTTATCATCGTGAAATAAGTCATGATAAAGTTCGTGTAATCCTTTCTTCTTTGTTACAAATTAGACATGCGTTTTCTGAGCACGTTTTGTATGGTAAATATTATAATTTTCGAAACCGATCTACCATATTCAGATTCCATTTTTTTTACAAATTAACATTTTCAGAGAATTGGGTTACAGTTACATTCAATGCCAATCTTAACATTTGGCATTTTATTTTGTGTAAATATATTTCAGAAGGTGGCCTTGAATTTAGAAAGAACATGCTCGTAAAATAAACCTTTTGGTAAATATTGCACTTTATTCTCATATCTCTGCAAAAAGTAAAAGTAATCCTTTACAATAAACGTTTATTATTTTCCCATACTTATTTTAAGAAGATAATAAAAAGTTGCATCTCACGTGCAAGCACCCCTCTCCCACCAACCCACCCATCCACACCCACGGACGAACGTACACGCACACACATGTTCACACATGAAGGCTAAGGAGCATCACCTGCCACTTCAGTTGCATCTCCGTCGCCTGCCATTCTCATGTCTATCAAGGATCTTCCATCATTCCCATCTGGAATGTATTTAACAATTTCTTCAGGTAACGTTTAATGTGCGTAAGAACATAAGCATACAATTACGAGACATATGGAACGTACCACTTAAACAAGTGAGACTTCGATCATCATTTAAATTCAGTTGCCGCAATTAAGATGACACTCATGTTACATCGAGCAAACGTTGTGAACTAACGCTTTATTGGACTTCAACACCGACTGCAATATTGAGTAAAGAGCTCCAGTCCCATGTAGCGCGTTCACGCTAAATTCATCAATGGCCTATTGTCGAACGTCTGTAAACAAGGCAACCACAACCACGGGGAAGAGAAGACGGTTAAAACGTCATCAAGAGCATGTGTCTTGGCGCCATTCGATGCATCGCAGTGCGACAACGTGCAAATGGCATCTACAGGGGAAACAAATTTTCTGTTATTTGTATACACACATTTCATGATCCTGTAAGGATAAATATAACATCCCAGTCTTAATATGTATCGTTTCCTATTTTTCCTTCGCCGAATTTCCTTTCCTTCAAGTGCATTTTCATGGCAGAAAATGTTGGAACGGCACAGCAATTTACTTTCTATAGATATAAAATGAAGTTCAGTACAAAAAGTTGCATTTTTTTGGGAAGTTATCACTGACCAAACTGAGTGATTACAGGAATCGTCATTTCAGTCTTCATGATCTTTTATTTTCTTTGCATCACGCGTGCTTTTCCGCTCATTTCAGCTCGGCACTCTAGGCGGGACGCCAGTCCTTTTGTACGAGCGGTGACTGAGCGCGAGATGTTTTATCACGCTTCCGTGACAAGAATTAAGTCACGATGATTCGTTCCAGAGGCGATCGCATATGCTTGCGGCAAGCCAACTACCTCGCGCAAACAAGATCAACAGACCACAAGCGCAACACCTAGCGAGTGAAGAAAAGCCGCAGGCAAGGAACGTTTACAATACAAACGACGTAATATCAACGTTTTTTTTGCTGAAAAGAACCACCAAAGAAACAGAAAAACCAGCGTTGTATTCTTTGTTAAGTGCGAGTAAGTCTACAATGAACACACTTTGGGACAAGAAACGGCTATGCGTTCGCAAACCCCAGAAAATTGCGCCGTGCTTACGAAAAATACACAAATGAATAAAAACGCCCATAAACATGCCTAGTTATCCGAATATGGTTACTCATCAGCACCTGGCAGAACACTGTCATGGGAGAATAGGCAGCATTCAGGTAAAATTAGAGCAGGTTTTAAGTCTTTGACGGTACAATTTCACACGACCCAACGATAGATACATCTGCCAGTGAAAATATAGTTTTTACTTGCAACCCAATTGGTAGTAAAACTGGATAACATCTGCCTTACAACGTTAGTACAAAATGATCATTGGTGAATAGAATCACAAGAGATCAAGATCACAGGTACCCAGGAATAGGGACTCACGAGTGGGCGAGTCTTGAACCTTCCTCTCACCGGTTGAAAATCTATCGCCACCCACCATGAGATCATGGAGCAGGTAATAGCGGCAACAGATTTAAGTGCACGCAATAGGCTCTTTAAACTTCCTTTTCCCGTAGGTGTCTAGTTTTAAAGATGTCATTAAAAACATAGTAATTATAAATTACACACTATACTGCAAAGGCAAAATAGGAGTACGGTATATTGACTGAAAAATATTCGTTGTATGAATACTTATATGATTCAGAATTCTCCAAAAGAGAAAGAAAAATTTAATTGAATGGTTAAATGAGGTGCCCACACTTCATCATACTGATATGGGTTGTTGGCTACATTCATACGGCTCGAGTCATATTGCTTCGCTATGGTACTTCATATTTTTGGGAAAAATAATTTACAACGTTCAACATAAAATAAATGCAATTATTGCTTTTAACTAATTAACGCAAATACCTCTCATTATCAGGTAGGCTGTAGGAAGCCTGCCCGCTCATAAGTATACTGCCAAGAGAACATTGCGGTTGGAACATCCGCTTAAGAGAATTGGAGAGACTCTAAAATCAAACGAGGAAATCGGACACGGGATGGTAGTGGACACATGTGTACAGCATTTCCAGGTTAAGGGCTTTAATCATCATCGAAGCATTTAAGATTGAAACCGTGTTGGAGAACACTGCACATTGATTTTTTTTAAAATATCAATTCATTTGCTGTAGTGGGCTTAAAACACCCGAAGTAATATTAATTATATTAATCGGTAAAATTTTCCAATATATTGCAATATAACAGGAACATTTCGGGACAACACAATTACGTATTCAAAACATAATATAAATATATACGAGTAAAACACCTTCATATAGTTGCCCTCCTCAACCACAGCACGCAGAAGAGCCCTGCATCTGTATGCTGGAATGCGTACATTTAGAAATAAAATATATAAATGGATATAGTTTACTTACCGGGAAATGACGCAATTTTATTATGTCACAGTACCAACCTCACGGATTTTAAAAGTAAAGTGTGGACTGATTTAGCCAAGATAACATAACTAGTGAATTTGTAATCGTGTACAACATGGGTGGAAATGCGTTGCACTTGCAATCATGCTTCAATTACATAAATTACGTCAGGCAGAGTGACGCGAATCGAATTTCTCGGCTCTGGCCTTTCCCCTAAGCGATTAACATACAACGTCCTCGAGTCAGTCCAATGCATTTACAAAGCAACAGCAAGACGGCAAGCTTCGGGATTCACACAAAACGTCGTATTTATTGAAAACATGCCACCCTAAGAACAAGCTACTCTAAACATGACTGTTCGTCTTTCACGATTTCTATTAACTTCATGCAATTCATCGCCGTGGCTGTGCTGCACCTCATTCACCATTTGGAAAAACGACTTATGAAAACTTAGGACTGTTAGGTTGACAACAGAATTTGAACAAATGAAGCACGCATGGCGCCTAGAGTCCCCGTAAGTAAACTTCAGCCGAATACATAAAGCGGAGAGCACTCACCCTGCGGCCGGTCAGCGCGTTGGAGGGCGCGGGCGCCGCCACGCGCAGCAGGTCGCTCTCGGAGGCCAGCCGCTGGAAGCGCTGCGTGCGCTCCTTCACGCTCACCGCCGCGTCCGCCTGCGCGGGCTGCGCGGGCTGCGCCGGCGCTTGGGCCGCCTGCGGCTGCGACTGCTGCGCTTGCTGCGGAGGCGGCGCCGGCGGCGACGTAGGGCTCACCGTCACCTGCACCCAAACACACAACGGACACACGTCAACGTGGCGATAAGGCGGTGCGCCACGTCAATGCACCTGACAAACATGCTCAATAATTTAAAATGTTGGTTTCGGTTGATAGTTTCCGGGCACATCAACTGTCAACATCATTAATCCCATTAGTGTAGTAAATGTTTCAAACCCGAAAGTGCAAGGGTCTTCCTCATCCAGGTATCTTCCCCCATTGGGGCACCGCTCCTCTCGGGACACGCTCTAAGCTCCAGACTGCTCTTCTGACACGTGTGGTAATATAATGGATTTAAGTGAATGTGTGTGTGTGTGTGTACGTACGGGGAGAGAATAGGATGTGGAAGGAAGGATCGCGCGCGGTCCGTGACGCGTCAGGGTAATCTTCGGCATTCGCCTGTTATTAATACGCAAAAAAAAAACAACAAAAAAACATAGGACACGACCGATTAGAGCAACCGGCCGGTAGAAATCTCCTCCAGCGAGCGGCAGAATTCGAACAATTTACCTACATTTGAAAATTCGTCACTGTCAGGATTCGAATCCTAGGACCTCCCGGCCAGAGACTCCACAATGTCAGCGGCAATGCTGTCTCTGAGCTACACTCAGTTGGTGTTGACTTGGAAAGAACTGGAGATAAAATTGCTGAATCCTTAATATAATATACTGGAATGTGGAAACTGGAATGGATACAAATGTACACTTAAGCCCGTAGGTGAGCTATTGCTGGATGGATAATTACCCCTCAGGCTTGCATATAACAGAATTAAGGCGGAATATAGATTACACATGTTACTCATTATGATACAGGTAGAACTGTAGACCAGATCAACCAGAAGTTACAATCGGCAATCACTCCGAAACGAATCCTTCTAGGCTCCAAAAGACAGATTTTCTGAGTACATTAATTCAGAGATTGAAATTTTATTGATTTTACGTACTCACTCGGTAGATAAACTATCGGAATACGAATCTTCAATATCAATGTAAACTATGAACAACCACACTTACGAATATTCCCTCGTGAACCCACTTACGCGTAAACAAGACAAATATGATTTTGCCTTTCCTACGCGCAAAAAGAAAAGAAACACACAATAACGAAAGCATATGGCGTTCGACCTCACAGGATCAGTTTTCTTCTGATTTAGATGACACAAAACGAAAAGTGGTACAGGTAGGAAGAGTTAGTAACACTGGCTATGAATATTAAAACATCTTATCAACTCGAAGATCATTTAACTGTCGCCACACAATATGAGAGTAGTTTCTCACTTTTCGGGGGTCCATTGCAATGATCGTTCACAGGCTAAAATACGAGACGAAGAAAATTATTTTTTTAAATTTGGCTGGATCTTCGAGTCGTACAGATACCACAGATATCCAATAAAACACCGCTACACTAGGCGTGATGTTTCCGTTATAACTGTTACAATCGTGAACCGACTGTTATGACCCGACTCAATTAACGGACCCAACACAGTAGCAAGACCATGCTTATAAAAAGTTGCGATAATATTATTTTTTGTATTCCAGCATTATAAAAGAACCTTTTCTGTTGCAAGAAATCGTTCATAATCGGGCATTTTACGGCACAAATGAGGACGTATTAGATTTTGTCACGAATGATTGCGTCTTCACACATTCAGCCAATCGTAGCGAGAGAATCGGGGGGAGGTAGAGCTAAACGGAACAGCCGAACACCGTTTACTCGCGCGATGTCAAATACCCGAGTCGTCACAGCAAAATTAAGTTTGATTCTCTTATAAATGTATAATGCTGTTATAAAAAAATATAGTATGCGACTCGTTTATAATGTTGCTCTATTACATTCGTACAAATTTGAAAACTAGTTTCTAAAGTCGCTCGTTTTCAAAACATGTACTCATGCAATGAAACATAACATTATAAACTGATTGTATAAACTACTATTCGGTGCGAGAAATGTCATGGAGGGGGGAGTTCAACATGTTAAAAAGGAAAAATGAGAAATACCACATTATATTACAATGAGAACATTATTTAAATACAAGTATATAACGAAAAAACCTATCACATGAATACATTATGAAGCAACTTCATTTTGTACACGAAATTATTTATCATTTGACTTCAAAGGCGAGCGTAAATTCATCGGTCCAGGGACCTCAAAAGAAGTCGATCAAACGCGTGAAACTTCCGACGTAAACTGGCTGCTGTTGAGGCAAGCGCAGGCCACCAGAACAACCGCAGCCCCGCCGCATGGCTGTAAACTCCCCCACATCTCACGGCGGGCGCGGCGCCCCAGAAGAAGCCAGGTCCGTAGGCGCCCTGACTTTTAATGAAGTGAACTTTTATTAGCCCGGCCGCCCGCCCCGCCCCGCCGCCGGCGGGAACAAAAGCTTTCCCTCTCCAGACGAATTTATGGCTTTAATATTTAGCGGGAAAATTTTTTGAACTACTGCTCTTACTGCCGCGACTACTTTCGCGGCGATTTCCCGTCGCGCTCGCCGCAAGGGCTGTCCACTCCACAGCCCCGTCCCGCCCCAACCCCACAGTACAGATCCCTTGCACACATTGAGGGGAAATGTGGTAATACAATATATTAAACATGTTCAGTAAGCGACCATAAAGTAAATACAATTACTTGTGTGGTGAGATTCACTAAAACTGATTAAGTTCCATTTAGTACAATTCTAAATCGTAAGTGAATAAACAAAGAGAAATGTAAGAGGCACTACCCTTGTGTCTAAAAAAAAATATTCGGTGAGATCTACCAATCGTGCCACACTTACTAAACACTGCTTAGTGTGCGTGCGTTCTCAGAAATTTGACCAATACGAATGGTTGTACAGCCCATGTGGACTGTGAGAAATGGACGCTAAATATTGTATTATAAGCTGTATAAAGAGCATTTTAAGAATTTTACTGAATTTAAATAATTATATGTTGTATTCTAAACTAATAGTAGAAATGCAATTGGTAGCCAAATGACGGCAGTTTGCGTCCGCAACTGTTCTGCTTGGTCTGCCATGTATCCGAGGTTAAGGAAGTACTAGCCCACAGTTCCGTTGGAATCTACTACGTTATTATGATCAATTGTTTAGTTCATACAATTATTGTATTCTTTCCGTGTATTTATAATACAATAAGGTTTTTTTTTAGAATTTCTGTAAAGTTGCCCATCAGAGGAGGAGGCCATTGACACACTCAAAATATATTTGTATCTATATCATTGTCCTCCAGTTGTTTTAGTCATATCTAAAAATGATATAAGAAAATCCAGAATTGGTTTTCTTCAGTATGTATTTGATGATACATCAAGTCACATAAGACACATCACATCATTCACATCAGACTGCGAAACGTCGTTAAGAAAATTAAAAATAACACGTTCTAATGATAAGGAAGTTGATTGTCTTTAATATAATTAGAAATCTTATCCCAATTAAAATTTATATAACTCTAGACAATTACACAGAATTTCAGAGGTCACTTGTTCACGTAATTCAACACAAGTAACTTATAGCGACAGAGCGCTCATTCTTTTATTTAGTTGTTCGAACAGTACACTCTTGTACACTTTCGTAATAATAATATTTTAACCACCATGGAATTCTACGGGAAAAAATTACTAGCAAGGCCTTGCTTAAGTAAATGAAGCAAGAGTCTCGTAAACATAAGAAACCTGACGATTTTCTTCAAATGATCTATAACCAATGTATCACTATTATCAGTGTCTTCTGTAAAACGAGAAAAGCAAATATTTTTACGTTCACTTCAAAATGGATAGGCTTTAGAATGAATACAAGTGGAAGCATGTTTTTGGACTTTTTATTAGTGATTCAGAAGACGTCACTGAAAGTGCAGTATCATACATTAATAAATCGGTGTATCCGACCTTAGTAACAATTAAATTCTTATGATTATCGTTTCGAACCTGGTTGGCAATCAGCGCAAAAGCTTATTTTGTGTTTCCAGAAAGTTTCGCATGGAGAATTTCATGTTGAGGGTGGATGTTATTTCCATAATATGCAAGGACTATTCAAAGAATATTTTTCATGGTTCTTACCATCCCCAACTCAGAATTCAAACATACACCTAAGGAGAAACAGTAAATACACATTCGAAAAATGAAATGCAAAACTGTACTCGTGAATTTAAAATTAGCAAATTATTTAAATGCCTTAATTCTTAATGAAAATTAAATTTGTTTACGAAGAAGTCACTCCTATTAATCATACCTAAGTTTTAGCAGAATAAGTTTTCTGTTAGTCACAAAACATGATCCGCAACGCCACAATTTACAATACAACACCAAAACACTTCATTAGAACTGAAAGAAGTCAAAAATGCTCTCCATATTTACTTTAAAAAGTTCGTAGACAGTTTTCATTAAGAAGGTATCTCGAAACTCGCCTCCATTTCAATATTCCCAGTGGAAATAATAATTACGAAGAAAACAGTATTCTATTCTAGAGCCAGGTGCGATTCAATAAAAAATAATTGAAGTATACACAACCTTCGCATTATTATATCACTTCATGTCGACTTTAGCTTAGCAGCGGCCTCCTAGAAGCCACGAATGCTATAGCCAGAATAAAATAAGAGAAACATGGAAGCCAATCCCAGTGGCTCCGCATCCCTTTGATGTAAACTGCAGCAGTCTGATTCGCGGATGCGTCCATCTTTCGTCAGTTCGCTTCCTTCTGTCGAGGCTTCTGAACGACTTCCCTGAAATGCATCAAAGCCACTTTCCAACTGGATGGCAAAGAAAAGCGCCCCCAAACATGTGCAGGGCAAGTCCAACAACGAAAAGATCTGGCTTCTGAAGAAGTAAAACGAAAAATCTTGGGATGAAACGAGCTAAGAAAGGACGCTGTACTGCGTTTATTTGTAGTGTTAAAAAGGCCGGTTGATGTCTCACTGGCATGTTTACAAAATTATCGGAAGAAATCACTTAGCACAATATTTAAAAATCAGTCCCCAGTTTCATAAAACGTATATGAAAAGAAATAATTATAGACTCGTCGCAGAGCCGTTTGGACGAAATGCTATGAACATCTAGATAAATAGTTCTAATAATGCTTTCGAAATCTAACCTCTTAATAAAATTCCGTTCAAGAGGAACCAAATCAAGATTTACTTTTCTTTTCATAAATATTTTTTCTGGGAAAGTAAATTCACGAGGAGTGGTATATGAAATGCTGAACTCATCTCAAAGTAATAATTTGTATGGAACCATGCAAAGGCAAAACTGAACATAATCAAAACTCTTAATACATCATGGGAACATTGAAAAAAAAATGATTTGCTAGTTGTTATTCTTTACGTAAGTGCATGCATGTGATCGTGCAATTCATAAATATACATAATGAATTATTGCAATATATCATTGAAGTTTCCTGGAAGAATATGTGGGGACCAAATGTGCCTTTGAAATTAATTATGATACCAAAAATCGTTTTAAAAAACGCCAAATATTCTGTTTTAAGCCCCAATTCGGACACCCGCCATTCAATTACGAGAAGTGTTGTATGAAAAAAAACACAAGTTTTGTCCCATATTATCCTATTTTTTGTACTTGCTATTAAAGAGGTCGCCAGACCGAAAATCTGTATGTATTTCAATGGTGGTCGGATAAAGAGTTAAGATATTAAAGTGAGTTTGAAGATAAATAGAAATAACATTTCGTATGGTCATTGTAATAGAGAATAGCGAGTAATAGAGACTATTTCAAACACATTAAATTTGCTGCATTGTAGTAGTAGATTCTTTATGTAGATTATATATTTTATTTGATAACTTCCGAAGAAACACCGCCTTCATAAAAATGACTAATTCCCTCTACTCGAAGATCATCGATATAATACGCTACGGTAAGATACCGGTGTTCTATTATTTATAAGACTCCATCGACAAAAACGTAAGAGTGCCACTGCTACAGAGGGAAATTCATCTCCAGGGAGCGTCAAACAAATTGGTGGCGAAAAATTCAGAATTTTGTAGATTAGGCTGTAATGAAAGCAAGAGCACTTGTAGCCCAAAACACATGTTTCGCAGCTTAAATCGAAAACGGTTTGTCTTCGGCCCTTACAAATCGGTTTTCGAATCTCTATCTGGTTTTCTAACTTCCTTATTCAGAAATCTAAATCAGATTTTTTGAACTTTCTAAAACATCTCTGGATGTTTCGCCCGTGCAAGTGGAAGCATTGCTCAGCATTTATCGAAAACAATGTTCACCGAAAATGGTTCAGCACTAGTTTTTATAACGTTCTTTGATATAGACGAGGAGAAAATTTAAAAACAAA